ACACATATAAACACATAAAAATAAGCACAAAAACATAACAAACAGCACCTCTCAGAAGGGTAGTTATAACCACAATGGATGCATTTAGGTTTAGGTTTGTCTTTGGAGAATGTGGTAGGAGGTTTCTGTGTGGTGTTCTTTGAGTATGACTTATAGTGTTGAGATTTGGCAAGCATGGCTAAGGATTCAGTAGGTTTGGTGTTGGTAAGGGATCTCTGGCTTTCTTCTTGAAGAAGTAGGGAGTAAACAATGAACAAGGCAGGCATAGGAGTAGAGAGAAGAAAGTGCACTTTCTTCTCAAGGAAGAGTATGAGTCATGCAAACCTACTAAGAATTTCGTAACAGAGTCCTGTTGTTGTGCCAGAGCCAATGCCTCAAACAAATCACAAGTACAATTGATGAAAGCACCACAGTTACACTTGAATAACGGACGATATGTAACATACTCATCCCAGAGGGACTTAAACAGATTATAATACTGAGTTATGGACATAGACCCCTGATCTATTGTACTAAAGGACTTTTCTAGTTGAAAAACCCTAGGTCCACTACTCATAGCATATCGAGTTCGCATTTCTTCCCAGACATATTACATGAACTGGATCGAGATTGAGAAAGATACAAAGAGAGGAAGAGAAAGAAGAAGAAGACGGCTATTGCTATTGAATTTGAGAAAATGAATTGTTAGGGTTTTCTCCATAGGATTTGCCCTTTTATACTAAGTACAAATAGAACTAAAGGTGCTAAATATAAAATGACAACATTGCTAAACTATTACAACATAAAGGCTAAATATGTAAATACACATATTATTATTAGGTTAAATAGTGATTCCCGTGGGAAAGGTACAGACATATATAGTGGGAAAATGCTATGTACGTCTGTTACGGAATCATTCATCATACTGTCGGAGATAGTTAATCTAATGGTTACAAACCCCAACAGAATAGTTTCGTAACAAGACCGTAACATCTCCCTATATCCTTAAATATTAGAATATAGTTCATTCAAATTTATTTTAAAAAAAATCATGAAAAAAAAAAATAATACTAGTGTCACTATATTAAGGTACTAACATATGATATGAGAAGACAAAACGCAAAATTAAAGAAAGGAATCTGCGGAATAATCGCCGCTTCGACTGACGTGAACCACGAGACTTGCGACACCACATCACAATTAACAAATTCCAAATGAAATAAAACAAAAAGTATTGTCCTACGTATATAAATTACAGTACATTTGTTTCTTACATGCTTTTTTTAAAAATAAAATATTATATTGGATGGTTATAAACTTTTTATTTCTCGACTAGATAGACTTTTTACCAATCATATTACCGTTAAATAATCATACTTTTTCATAAATAATTTAAATAAAAGTATGACATTTTAAAATATAAATTTATAATTATTTTTTCCCATAAAGTATAATAAGTTGATCAGTCTAACAATTAAGTCTTTGAATTCACGTTGTGCATCACTATCTCAATTGCATTGCATAACTAATAGATCCAAGAATGACATGTATTATGATAGAGGTGTAAACGAGTTGGCTCTATTCGTTAACTAAACAAGTCGATAAATAAATTTGAACTCAGAATTTGAGCCGACCTCTAAGAAAATAATAATATATATTATATTTTTGAGTCTTAACGAATCGAGCAAAATTAAACTTGCCAAGATGAACTCACGGCGAGCAGCTGGTGTCCTCTAAAATTAATAGTTATTACTTATTAGTATAAACTGTTGGCAAATCAGTTAAATTGAGTTTGACCCAATGTTGACTGATTTCTTTATGACTATATATTTAATTCCGGTCGCTGTGTAGAAAAGTTCCACGTTTCGAGTAGATCCTCGTGGTATATTTATTTTTTCAAAACAGTTTTTCTGTGAGTGAAAAATAAATGATTCAAATTAGTGATTAATGGACACGTAAAACGATGATTATGGGATTTGAAAGGTCAATAGTTCTTTCTCACATTGGACTCTTAGATGAGGATTAACTCTCTTTATTATAATAAAAAGAATTGGATAAGTCACAAAAACTACAAAGTTATGCAACAAGTGTTTGTGATGGCTTGGCTACACGGGCGCGCCCCCGCCAGGTACGGGCACGGGCCTAAGCCTTGGCCTTGAACCTTTGTCCGTGACAATTGTACTTGGACGGTCTTGACGATCTGGGTCGGTGTTGGGCTTAGGTCTTGGGCTCAGTCCTTATAATCTTTTTGCGCCAAATTTGTGTGCAAAATTGAGGCTCAAGTTAAAATCCAAATCGAGTTGGGTTTGAACTCGAGTTTTGACCCATCCCGTGTGAGACCTCTCCAAATAGTTGATTCCACCTAATTGTTTAGGTGGAGCAGTGATGTTAGCACTTGAAAATAGCATACTTAACATACACAACCATCAATGGGTTGTTACTGATTAAAGACCAGATGTCATTCCTACTGGCTGAAAATCCATAAATAGGACATGATTTAGAGTTGCTGAACATATTCATAGCACACTTATCATTTGTATACTCCATAACCTCGTACATCATAATATACAAGTGATCGATTCTCAACTTTGTTAAAGTTC